TTCTACAGGATACCAGTAGGGGAGCAGAAACTGATAGTCCTCAAACTGTGATCTGTCCAAGATTTCAAATGAAGTTTTGGAATAAGCATAGATTTTATTTATTCCCTGTTGCTCCTACCCCCTGATAATTAAAGCTGTCAAATCAACCCTACCACCAACTTCATATTTTCTCTATTGATTTCCCCAAAAGAACTGAATTGCTAGATATTGCTGTCTGGGGTATTTACTAAAAGCTGGGCCTTCTTTCAAAGGGTGCTACAAAAGCGTTCATATAATATTTTATTTTTAAGAAAGGCAGTTGCTGTATTCTTGGTCTCCGTCCACTTGCAAAAATATACATCAAATTAAACAACTATGTTCTTCGCCTTCTTAGACTATAGACAAGCTGGTTAAAGTAGGAATATGGGCTGGTAATTTGGCCAGAAGCTCCTAAAATTGACCAGGAAAGTTTTATAAAATGCCTATTTTTTTCCATTAAATGTCTGTAGCAAGCAGAGACATTTACACTCATGTCACTGATTATCAATGCTGCTTGTGCAGTATTGTGGTGGCTGTTCAATACCTATTGGTTATCTTTTGCAGATGTTCTTTCTCCTGCTTTCAGCATTTTTCATGAAGATCAACCTGATTTAATATTTCTTCCCTTCACTTTATCCTACCTCCAAAATTTATTCAAAATACCCAAACCATGTCTGGTTGTATCTGATGAAATAAAAGCAACTAGAAAGTCAGTAAGTGCTGTTAAGTCCATTTTCCTTTGCTTTTTCTCTCAAGAGGTCAATTTGTCACTTTGTTGACAGCTATCAGAGCACTTTATGCTTCATTGAAGACCCATCAAAAATTTCTGAATCGCCAGCTCATTAACACAAAATGGGGCTTGTGGAATCTCTTTCTCTCAGTGTCCCAACTGTGCTTTTTAAAGTGTTCTACCCTTGGTGGGCCGCTCTGAGGCAATGGGTTAAAACTACAGTGAATTGAAAGATGGGTGTTAATTAGTTGCTTTTGAAGGAGTAAAACATGGGTGAAGACAAAGTATAATGGAGAAAACCTAGTATTATCTGTGTCAGAAGAAGATATGGGTGATTTTGCTCACTACTCACAGGTCACTGAATGTCAGAGATCATCTAGTCAGACTCCCACATTTTACCAGTAAGAGTAAAGGAGGGCCCCAAAGGGGGGAAATGACTTGTCCAAGGTCATTCAGAAATTACCAACTTTGCAGACACCAGCTGGCTTTTGATTCTATGACCTTTATGCAATCAGTTTTAAGTCCCTTGGTCCACTCATACTAGCCTGACAATCTCATGGATAATCCAAAATGACACATAAACTAACCATCACTTACAATGGACTTTGTGATTTGTGTTGATATTGACTTTCTAATGTGTCTGGGTCCAATTTGGGAATTCACAACACTTCAAATGAGACAAGAAAGCCACCCTGAAACTAATTCAGGAAAACTGATCAGCCTTACTGAATGGACAGCATCGAGTTAGGCTATTCAGACTCTCAAGCAGGACATGTTACTTTCAATGAGTTTGCCAATTCATACCTTTCCTTGTCTCTACCTTTCTTCTTCCTTCTTTCTTTTCCTTTTCATTCTTCCACTTGCTGGAAACATGAATGGCTGTTTTATCGTCTATAGTTTAAACTAATGTGTGGTTGAGCCATTGACCTGGAGAATTGGCTGTCAGGAGGTCAAACAATAAATGGAAGACATACGGGATTCCAGGAATCTAAAGATGGAGAGAGAAAGAGAAAGATTAGTGAGCAAAAAATTTTAACAGAATCTACAACTCAGCAGGAGTAAAAAGGTATCAGCTGTATAGCTCAGTAAATGCTCAGGGTCTGAGAAAGAGCTAGTTTGGAGTAATTGTCCAAAGAATCTTCAACCAAATCAAGTTTCATCTCCTCATCTGGACTCATCTAGACTCTGGGGTTTTGCAGAGAGTCCAGAATTTGCTGCTTTGTTGTTGTGAATCCACACTGTGCTGAAGTGGCCTTATTATACTCAACATATTTCTCCAGTGACTGCTGGTGACTGAGAAATAATGTGCAACAGAAAAAAGGACAGGAACAGTTTGCCTGATATGTAGTCCAAGAAAGAGTCCCTGCAAGCACTCACAGTGGCAGCAGGGAATGCAAAATGTCTGAGGTTTTGCTGCAGCTTTTAAGCATTTTATTTAAAAAGGTGTCCCCTTGCATTGTCTGGCCTAGAATAAACAGATACATGTTGACGAAACAAAGTGCTTGATTAAGCCAGGGTGGTACTTAATATCAATATATATTGAAGAGAAGCCTTACTGTGGGTCACACTAATGTGGATAATTGAATTGTATGAATAAAAAGGGGTTAGAATGAATTAAGACAAATGTACATCCACAGGAAAGAAAAATCTATCAGCATTCTTTTGTTGCATTCCTATTTGCGGCTCTTTGTTAGCCTAAGGAAGCCCTTTCAAATGGCTGATCCCTGTCTAAAGCCCTGCCTGAAGCTCAGGGCCTTTCATGGAAGCCAAAGGATTGAGTCATTCAAATAGGAACTTCTGAAACTCATGTACAGCACTTTACTTTTTTTTTTTTTGGCATCAAGCAGAGTGACTGTGAAGTAATAATGATAATGACAATGGAAATAAGAGTGTTATCCTAATTAATTTGCTGAAAGTTATTCCCCATTTGCCAATTTTGGCTTGCTTTGTCTTGATTAGTAGCCCAGGTGCTGAAACAAAGGTGTGTATATGTGTGTATACACACACAATGTCACTTGGATAACTTTTGATTTGTCAGAAGAGGTTAATTTTAAAAAAAAAAAAAAACACCTGTTGGGTTAGCAGCAATAAATGCAGTAACAGTGATTTAATCAGAATTTAAATTTATTTGGTGTGAGTTTTAGAATCTTGAATTAACATTTCTCTCTGAGGTCAGGAGGTTTCATCTGGCAAATTGCACATGAGTAGCCCAACCTAAAGCTTAGCAATAGCCTAACATCATGGTATGAGAATAGGTTGTCGGGAGGATGCTATAAAAATCTAAGGGAAGATTCAAATAAGATAGTGGTATATAAAGAGTTACCTGCAGCAGACACCAGCACTTAGTTGGCACATTTAGAATCTGCCTCTCTCTGAACATTGTGTGGGCTACTTGTCCTCACCCACCTTGCTCCAGGGAGAAAAAAAAATATATCTCTGATTCCATCCTTCCTCTGGCAACCTTTTGCTGACCCCAGCAGCTATTATTTCTGCCTTTGCTTCCAATGCCCTCCCCCTCTATGCCAGTTTTACTACCTTCCTACCTGACCATCTCCATTGACAGAAAACCCAGACTACTATTTCTGACTCTTCATTTGGTTTCTCTATTATCGTCCAGGAATTGAAATCATCAGATAATTTTCTTTCTCCTTCCGACTTAGTTCACTGAGCTTTATCTTTTCCAGCTCCAGCCATATCACTTTAAATGGCATGGATTTATTAATTTTTTTCATTGCTGATTGTGTATATGTACCACATCTTAATCCATTCATCTGTTTTTTGGAAATTTAGGTTGTTTCCATATCTTGGCTATTGCAAACAGTAAGAAAAAAAATTAAAGAAGTAATGATTAAAATAATGAACAAACAACTAAAAAAGAAAAATAGAAACTCAGATTATATCCCCACCCCTGAGGCTGGAAGCTATGTGTGTTTTGTTCCTTTCCATTTCTCCAGGACTCTGTGTTGCCCTGTGCATACTAGAAACTCACTAAGAACCTGAAGAATGAATTCATGGATGAATAGATGGGACTGATGTTACAATAGGTAGAACTCACCTTTGTGGTAGAAGGAATGTTACATATAATGGTAACCATAAGCAAAGACCACTGGAGACAATGGTTGGCTTTTTCTTTTTTTCTTCATTGAGGTGACATTTGTTTCCAACACTATACATGATTTAGGGGAATAGGTTCACACCTCCTTGGGTGTGTGTCGCTACACCAACCCAGCCATCAGAGCATCCATAATTCTTTAAACTAAGCCACTGGGCCCTTTGTTCCCACTTCACTCGCCCTCCTCATCTAGCAGTCTTTTGTCTTCACTGGTGGCTATTATTTCTGTCTTTGTTTTCAATGCCCTCCCTGCTACACCCCAGCCCTACTACCTTCTTTCCAGCATTTCCCTGATCAATGAAAGTTCTGTTGGCTGTGGTAGAACAGTGAGCACCCTTTTGGCCAACTTTTGGTATATATGCCTGCTATCTACCACTAGAAGCATGGTCCCCGGCACTTGTTGAAGAGACATAGATAAACAAGCATTTACTTTGTCTATACTTTGTATCCTTTGAATTTGCAATTCCACTCACATAATTTTGAGTGTAAAGTCATTTTAAAGGTCTTCATAGTCAGTCCCTTTGCTCTAACGATCAGAGTTCATATTTATGGACACCTTGCTGCTCCCAGACACTTATATACTGACGGCCCTGTGAGGTAGGTACTCTTGTTATCTATACTTCATGTACGAGGTGTTGGAACACTGAGATGTCAGGCAACTAGCTCCGGATCATTCAGCTAGGAAACAGAGCCAGGATTCAGATCCAAGTTTGCCAGACTTCTAAACTTGCCCAAAGATAGGAAAGGACTTGCCAAAGGTCACTTTGCTGGATCCTAGCACTTTTGGCTCTCATGTGTGTACACATGTTGCTCCACGCTGCTGCTACTTTAGCCCACAATGTAGGGTTTCTTCCAAGCATCATTTTCTTTTTTAGAAGTGCATGTCTTCCTGGATGATCTGCGGATTCCTCCAGGGCAGGGGTTACATTAGTTCTGTGTTTCCTCCTTCCTCAAGGGCTTGCCCAAGCTTTTCCTTCACCAAATAATGACTTGTAATCAGCTTCTTAACTGCTCCCTGGAGATTCCTGGCACAACACCCCAGTACAACTTGTGGCTTAGATGTGAAAAGAGTCAGGAAGTAGAATTTGAAGGAAGGAGATACCTCACCACCTGCTTTCTGTTTTGTTCTCTGCAACACAGATTGAAGATGGAGGCAAGGCAGCCTTGTCCCGGAAGATGAGGACTGGTGATGAGCTGGTGAATATCAATGGCACTCCATTGTATGGCTCCCGCCAAGAGGCCCTCATCCTCATCAAAGGCTCCTTCCGGATCCTGAAGCTGATTGTCAGGAGGTAAGGTACAGGGAAGCTCACTGTAAGAGGGCAGGGGACACTGAGACCACTGGCTCATAACCTCAGTAGACTCATCTCTAGCAACATCAAGAGAAGTGGTGTATCTTGTAAGAAGAGTTTTGCATAAGCTGAAGCAGATGGCATTAGAGAAAGGGCCTTTGTTCAAATCTTGACATTACCACGTACTACCCATGCCATCCCTTGGATAAATTTATTCTCCCTCTGAAATTCTCAGTCTCCTTATTTGTTACTAGAGGACAAAAGTACACACCAAATGCCTACCTACTCCTAGCATTTTTCTCTCTCCTCCTTCATAAGATGCCAGTGCTCAACCTCAGAGACTTAATGACACCCTATAGCCAGTCACTGTAGGCACTCTGGTGGTTGTGGAAAACACCAAGAAAGAAACCCTGTCCTTGAAGAGTATACAGTCTAAGAGGGGAGAAAAGACACATCTATGACAAATGAATTAGCTGGCAATGTGTTCTTTTAGAAATGTCAAATGAATTGCTCAGATCGAAATTTCTGTTAGAATTCAATAAAGAACTCTTCAGAAGAGATTGATGGGGTAAAACTTCACAGGGAATTTAAAACTCGAGCTAATCGGGGGTAAAACTTGACAAATAAACCCCCCAGAAGGGGAAGGGCATTCCAGGTAAGTGGTGTAGCCTATACAGAAAGATAATAAGGACATAGCTGGGCACAGTCTTTCTGCCACCAAAGCATCTACCTACTGGTGAACTGTCCTTAGGGCCTCATCTTCATGCTGCTGCACTTTTGCTCAGTACTCTGGAGCCATTTCTAACAGTATGTTTCCTTTATTCTATATGCATGTCTACATTTCTCCATTTTATTCTTGTTAGAATGTAAGTTGCAGATTGTCTTCCCACAATCACACTTCTCCCTCTGGCTACTGTGCCTCTTCTTCTTTTGTTCATACTCAGTTCTTAAAAGTAAAGTCTGCACTCATTGCCTCCAATTTGTCTCCTACCATTTAACTTTCCACAAACTGTAGTTGAAATTTGACCCTGCAAATACCACTGAAACTATTCTGTTCAAGGCGACACATGACTGCTAATTGTCAAGACCTGTGGATTCTTTTCAGTCTTCATTATCTATGGCTCTACAGAGCATTTAACATGGTTACTCTGGATCACTTCTTTGTGAATAACTCCCCTCTCTTGCTCTGAATTCCCCGTTTCCTTGCTCTTTTCCTATTGCTCTGTTCATTTTTTAAAGCAAGGTTCCTTTAATACCTGCTATCTCTTTGAGCATCCCTCAAATGTTGGTCTTTCCTCTAGTTCTACTCTTTCTAACTTCATTCATATACCATGAAAAATCTTACCCAGTCCCAGAGCTTCAATTATCATTTACATATGACACACACACACACACATATACACACACACACTATATATATATATATATATATATATATATATATATATATATATATATCCCATATATGGGATATGTGTGTGTGTGTGTATATAGATAGATAGAGATAGAGATATGGTATATAGATATGTGGTGTATGTATGATATGTATATATGGTATATATGTGACATATATGTGATGTGTGTGATGTATGTATATACATATATACATGTATACGTGCATACATATATATTACACACGTATATAAATAAATAAGTAAACACTTCTTTGTGTGTGTATATATTCTCTCTCTCTATATATATATATTTATTTTATACACACACACACACACACACACACACAAGTCCACTTCCTGTTGGAATATTTAGATGTCTCGAAAGTTTTCAAGCATACAGTGCTCAAAATCAGGCATGTCATTTTCTCCTCCTAAATTCCTTATCTTAATGACTAGAACCGACATGTCGATCAAGTCAGAAACACAGAAGCCATCTTTAGTTCTTCCATCATTCTCATGTTCTACATCCATATGATGTATCCTAAGAAGAAAATACTTAGTGGGAAAGAATTTTGAGTTAGTGAGGGTGAGGTTATAAATAAATCACACTGATTTATTATATTACCTGCTGGCACCTAAATTCAAGCCATGCTTAGGCATGTACTCAGATAGGAGGTAACATGTTAAATAATTCCTTATATAACAGACATTTTGTCATTGACTCAAGATTGATCAGTCATGATTTAGGTTTTAAATAACTTTCTTGGAGGGGTAGCTTGGTGGATTTGGAAAAGTTACTTCTTTGTGTGTGTATATATTCTCTCTCTATATATATGTATATATATTCTCTCTCTCTATATGTATATATATAGTCTCATTCATATATATATATATATATAGTCTCATATATATATATTTTTATATATATATATGGTCTCCTAGATAGATAGATAGATAGTCTCCTTATTTAACTTCCTGGTTACTCCAATTATGCTTCTTGCATACCCTAGAGAAAGGAATGGGATTGAAGTCCATTGAGAGCCCATTATGTGAAAGGCATTTTACGGAAATTGCCTCATTTAATCGTCACTACAACTCCATTATATAGCAACTATCATTTCCCATGTGACTGAACTAGAAAGATACATAGATCGAATATATATATATATATATATATATACATACATATATATATACACACATACACACATACATATATATATCAATATAGATTTGGAAAAGTTACTACTTTGCATATATATTTGTGTGTATACATATACATATATGTAAAGTTACTACTTTACACACACACACACACACATATATATATATACTCAATCTATGTATCTTTCTAGTTCAGTCACATGGGAAATGATAGTTGCTATATAATGGAGTTGTAGTGACGATTAAATGAGGCAATTTCCGTAAAATGCCTTTCACATAATGGGCTCTCAATGGACTTCAACCCCATTCCTTTCCCTAGGGTATGCAAGAAGCATAACTGGAGTAACCCGGAAGTTAAATAAGGAGACCATCAGAACGGTAGTGTGCCTGGAAACATGACCTTCAGAGGGTATGATTCACTGGGGAACCCTTTTAGTAGTGACAAAGATCTAAAGAGGGAATACAATTCTCTGTCTCCAGATACTGGCACGGAGAGACAGTGTGGACACCATCCAGGGGGACTTCTGAGCCAGTCATAAGAATGAGAGTGTTTGGGTGTGTTACCGACTCACCTTCCGTTGGTGAACTCTGGGTCCTCTTGCTCCCTACTGTTGCAAAATCTGCCACTATCAGTGCCTCAAGAGCAACTATAAATATGGCTTGAGATAGAGCCGATTTTCATGGTGTGGTAGGTGCTATGGCTCCCTGAACCTACACTGCCTACCCTATCAGCCTCCCTCTCAGCCCCTATTGGAGGAGGCGGTCAGTGACACAATTTATTAGGTGATACTGCCCTCTTGTGGAAACCTTAACCTTCATGCGAGGATTACCCTAGGGGTAGGAGAGAACATAGAGCCCTTCTGTCTTTTTTCCCAAGTGGTTCCACAAATTTATGAAATAGATCTTAGCGCATAAAAGAAATGTGATCCTGAAATCTAACATTTACCCTGATGCTTTATGCTAAAATAGGACTTTTTTTGAGTAAGCAATCAACCTACAAAGATTCAACAACTTCATTTTGTGTTCTCAGAAAGTATCTGAGAAGGAACTTTAGAAAACAGGTATTCTGAAAAGTCATCCCAGTTATTCTTCTTATACTATCTTTTAGGTGATGGTCAACAAAGTCAGAAATCTAGATGTTACCCTCCACTCCTCTCTTGCCACACCCCCTCCAGTTTAAGCATTTCTAAGTCTTCATGAGTCTTTTAAACAGCGGTCTGTATCCTTTGTCTTAGTCCAGTCACTCATGATTTCTACACGAACTATTGTAAAAGCCTTCTTAATGACTTTTCATCTGTCAGTCTCACCTCTATCCTACCAATCCCTTATCCAAATAGGCATCTGATCATATCACTTATCTATTTGAAAAAGCAAAGAAACAATTGCCATACAATCATGTTGGTACCAAGACAGTCATTTAATATTGATAGAAGTTACAAGCTATATTGAAGGTGTTGTATTTTTCCTGCAAAGAAAGGTATTGTGTTTGCATTACAAGAAGAAAAGTAGTTAGAAAATCAGAAAAAAAACATAATTCATCAGATCTGTTAGTAAATATCAAAAATATATTTCATAGACAGTGATTACATCCCCTTTTCAAATGTTCAGAGAATGTTTGGCATGCCACAAAGAACACCATTGGAGACACATACAAGTAGAAATCACATTTGCCCTGTTCTCTGATGATAATATAAGCCTTTTACAAATTAAAGCAAAAACTAGGCAGAATGTTCAACGTCTTGAATATTTAAGAGCAGATTTATATGCAAGTATTAGCCTAAAGAAAGAGTAGCAGATTAATAAAAATGAACAAAAATGAGAGAAACTTATCAAAACTTTGAGAGAAGTATTCAGAAGTAATAAAGATGAAGAATTAAATTTCATGACTAAGAATCCAATATAATATAAAGCCAAGGGGTAGGTTTTATATGGGGGATGAATTAAGTAGATAAACCTCTCCAAATTTAATTAAGAAAACAAAGGTAAATTATAAATAAAATTTGAATGATGAATGGAGTATCACAACAAATACAAAGAAGATTTCTTAAATTTTAGAATACTATTAAAATTATATGTTAATAAACTAGAAAATCTCAGGATAATTTACAGTCTCTAATAAAATATTACATTTTAAACATTTAGATCTGTAACTACAGATACAATAAACATAGTTATCAAAGAAAAACTTCCAAATACACTTTAGAGTCAGATGTTTTTATCAGTGAGTTGCTTCAAACTTTTTAAGAATAACAAAGTTAAATTCTTTAGCACTATTATACTTCAATCCTATGGTACTTGTTATATATAGTTCAATTCTATGTAGCTATTAAAAATTGAAAATCTTGCAGTTATTCACAATGTTTTAGAAACTAGCAACACTCTGAACCCAATATCTGACAAACTGCTCCAAAAAAAGAATATTCTACCCAGTGTACTAGATGA